TATTGAGTTATTAAGGATTTTATACTGGCGAATTTTTAGTTAAGTTTTGTGTAAGTGATTGACGGAAAGAGTTTCTTGTTTTTATTTTATTGTATAGAGAAATAACATTTGTATATTTATTAATATAAAACATTAAATAATAGCAAAATATCATTAATCTATTTAACTAATATTGACAGTTTGTGTGTTAATGTAGTAATTCTTCACAACAGTAGTGCCTGAAGCACTATCCTCATAAGAAGTACTATCACTATTTTCATAAGAGTTTTTATGGAGAATTTGTTATCTACCAATTGTGAGATTTTGTTTTAAGACAATAATATACATTGGATAGTTTGTTTTTGAACTTGTTTGCAAGGGTTGACGAAATGGTTTCATTAAGGTGAGACTGATTAGAGATACAGATTCAAAAGAATTCTTGTGCTAAAATAAAAATATTAAATAAAATTACTATTAAGTAAAAAAAATTGTATTATAATAAATTAAGCATGTACCTTAGTAGGAATAGCATCCATTTCAATTTCAACTTCACTTTGCAAACTGTTATCCTATAAAAATATATGATTTAATAATCTATAACTTTATAATTTAATTTCAATATATACAGATACTTGAGTAAAGCTAACATTTGGATTAATTGATTCTGCTTGAGAATTAGAAGGTAAAGTTCCAACACTATCAATTAGTAATAATAATGCATCTTTACATTGCTTATCAGAAGGTCATGTATAAACTTGGTAAGATGATTCACTTTTATGTCCAGTAATAGACATAGTAGTACTCATAGAAACATCTTTCTGAAAAAGAAAAGTGATAGGAGTTAATCGGCCTAAATGGTTAACAATATGGGCTTGGTGTTACAAAAAGAGAGTAAATTGATAAATTTTTAAAAATTAATTTTTTTATATAAATTAATTTAGAATATTACCAAGATTATTTTTCACTTAAGACACAAAAGTAGTTGTATTAATAAAATTATTCAATATAACTCTTTAAAATTTGTAATTTTTTATAATTTATTATAAAATTTGTAATATAAAAATTGATTTTCTGAAGATCTTTTTTTTTGTCAATTTAACCCCTTTTTGCAGCACCAAGCCCATATCATGATCACCTATATTAATTCCAACTGTGATGTATATTGTTTTCATAAATGATCTACATGTTTTATCGCCTAGCCTTTCATCAAGATACCATGGATCCTTTAAATAATCTATAATAATAATGATAAGTATTAATTAATTTACATAATTATATATAATAATAATAAATATATTTACTTCTTGCTTTTTTATTAATTTTTAAGTGAAGAAAAGTACATTGAGAATTTGCTAGTCTTTTTGAAAAATATAGCTTAATATCATACATGGAGCCTTGTAAATCTTCAAGATCAGGTGGGACAGATATAACAAATGCGTTTAAATTTCTAACTACTTCACCTTGATAATTTTTTTAAGAGTATTTCATAAAATTAATACCACTATTAGAAGTAAATACAAATTATGAAATTGATAAATTGTAGTGTTCACCACCACGAAGCTGAAATAGCAAGCAACACCACATAAAAACCCAGTATAGCAAGCCTTGTGGTGTATTATTTGAAACTAAATTATGCTAAAATATAGTTTTCAATTCTGTTTTTATGAGATAATCATGATGGTGTGATACAATTTCATCCTTTTTAAGCTTCTTTATTTTCCCATTAAGTGCCTCCCATAAATGAGAAAATTCTTTTCTATTCGATATATTAAAAATCTTGTTGCCTCTAGGATGTTTTAAAATATATAAACTAAGCAATTTGATGCAATTAACCAAAGATGATGTTGCATACTCCTTGTTGGCATTAATTTGTCGAATTCCTAAAATGAATTCAGTCATTTCATGTTTAGGCTGATTTTTATCAGTAATAGTTTCAATTTCATAATCATATCCTATATCACAACACCAGTTTTCTAAAATCCTAACCCATTTAGATGTTGCTCTATGGGTATTCTCAGGAATTGTGCTTTTAATAATTTCATCAATTTCACTACTGGTAGGTTTGTAATATTGATTTTTTAGTGTATTTGCTTTCGACATTTATTCTAATATCAACCAATCAAAACAAACTTTCGCTATACTGTACATTACAAATTAATAATAATATATAGTTATTGGATGCGAAGCATCCAATAACGTAAAGTATCTGGGCCAGAATTTGGCCGGGTGATGTCTGGGCCCCTGCGGGGCCCAGACATCACCCGGCCAAATTCTGGCTCAGATATGACAGTTATTGGTGTGTAGTGTCCAATAACGGTATTATCCGTCAGATTACAATGATCGAGCATTACATGAACACGAGTTAAAGCAAAAGTTTAATGACCAAGATAAGTTTATTAATATTTAATTACGTAATTTTCTTTGTATATAAATATTTAACTAATTTAAAATTGATCAGTTCTTTTTTACGTTGACATATAAAAAAAATGTCGAAAGCAAATACACTAAAAAATCAATATTACAAACCTACCAGTAGTGAAATTGATGAAATTATTAAAAGCACAATTCCTGAGAATACCCATAGAGCAACATCTAAATGGGTTAGGATTTTAGAAAACTGGTGTTGTGATATAGGATATGATTATGAAATTGAAACTATTACTGATAAAAATCAGCCTAAACATGAAATGACTGAATTCATTTTAGGAATTCGACAAATTAATGCCAACAAGGAGTATGCAACATCATCTTTGGTTAATTGCATCAAATTGCTTAGTTTATATATTTTAAAACATCCTAGAGGCAACAAGATTTTTAATATATCGAATAGAAAAGAATTTTCTCATTTATGGGAGGCACTTAATGGGAAAATAAAGAAGCTTAAAAAGGATGAAATTGTATCACACCATCATGATTATCTCATAAAAACAGAATTGAAAACTATATTTTAGCATAATTTAGTTTCAAATAATACACCACAAGGCTTGCTATACTGGGTTTTTATGTGGTGTTGCTTGCTATTTCAGCTTCGTGGTGGTGAACACTACAATTTATCAATTTCATAATTTGTATTTACTTCTAATAGTGGTATTAATTTTATGAAATACTCTTAAAAAAATTATCAAGGTGAAGTAGTTAGAAATTTAAACGCATTTGTTATATCTGTCCCACCTGATCTTGAAGATTTACAAGGCTCCATGTATGATATTAAGCTATATTTTTCAAAAAGACTAGCAAATTCTCAATGTACTTTTCTTCACTTAAAAATTAATAAAAAAGCAAGAAGTAAATATATTTATTATTATTATATATAATTATGTAAATTAATTAATACTTATCATTATTATTATAGATTATTTAAAGGATCCATGGTATCTTGATGAAAGGCTAGGCGATAAAACATGTAGATCATTTATGAAAACAATATACATCACAGTTGGAATTAATATAGGTGATCATGATATGGGCTTGGTGCTGCAAAAAGGGGTTAAATTGACAAAAAAAAAGATCTTCAGAAAATCAATTTTTATATTACAAATTTTATAATAAATTATAAAAAATTACAAATTTTAAAGAGTTATATTGAATAATTTTATTAATACAACTACTTTTGTGTCTTAAGTGAAAAATAATCTTGGTAATATTCTAAATTAATTTATATAAAAAAATTAATTTTTAAAAATTTATCAATTTACTCTCTTTTTGTAACACCAAGCCCATATTGTTAACCATTTAGGCCGATTAACTCCTATCACTTTTCTTTTTCAGAAAGATGTTTCTATGAGTACTACTATGTCTATTACTGGACATAAAAGTGAATCATCTTACCAAGTTTATACATGACCTTCTGATAAGCAATGTAAAGATGCATTATTATTACTAATTGATAGTGTTGGAACTTTACCTTCTAATTCTCAAGCAGAATCAATTAATCCAAATGTTAGCTTTACTCAAGTATCTGTATATATTGAAATTAAATTATAAAGTTATAGATTATTAAATCATATATTTTTATAGGATAACAGTTTGCAAAGTGAAGTTGAAATTGAAATGGATGCTATTCCTACTAAGGTACATGCTTAATTTATTATAATACAATTTTTTTTACTTAATAGTAATTTTATTTAATATTTTTATTTTAGCACAAGAATTCTTTTGAATCTGTATCTCTAATCAGTCTCACCTTAATGAAACCATTTCGTCAACCCTTGCAAACAAGTTCAAAAACAAACTATCCAATGTATATTATTGTCTTAAAACAAAATCTCACAATTGGTAGATAACAAATTCTCCATAAAAACTCTTATGAAAATAGTGATAGTACTTCTTATGAGGATAGTGCTTCAGGCACTACTGTTGTGAAGAATTACTACATTAACACACAAACTGTCAATATTAGTTAAATAGATTAATGATATTTTGCTATTATTTAATGTTTTATATTAATAAATATACAAATGTTATTTCTCTATACAATAAAATAAAAACAAGAAACTCTTTCCGTCAATCACTTACACAAAACTTAACTAAAAATTCGCCAGTATAAAATCCTTAATAACTCAATA